TTACATACTTAATATTATTAATTATTTTATGCACATAATTTATATGTTTATGATCGGACATAACAATTCTTATTTTAATGTGAACTTTATATGCGATACGACACATGGTAAAATATGGAATACGAAAGTGCAAATGAGTAGATAACTGAATAAAGTCATACCCCCCTCCAAAATAAGGTACTTAAATAAGCCACTGTACCTACCTAATTGTCCTATGCATAAATTATCTCACGACTCGCACGCGTAGGTCTATGTTGTTATTATAGTTAAGGTCATTCGTGGTATAAATGTATAATATGTTCCGTTTGTTTTCGTTTTTTATTTTTACGTCACATAATTTTTAATGACGACATGACGTAACTGTTGCTAAAACGTAAAATAATCAACTAGTCTTGCACGCGTTGTTATTCTACCATATTTAGACATCATCTTATACATCAAAGTTTTATTTTGTATTTAACATCGTGGCGGCTAAATGTGCGAAATCGTCTTCGCATAATATTTAATATAGGAGCAGTTGAATAGAAAACATGCGCGTGAAACTATAGATAATGTCGACATCAATTAACGGCGAACCTACTCGTTTTCGACGCGATAAAATATTTTTCTAACAAACAATAATATAAATATTACACATATAGCTACTATAAATATTACTATAATAGGTATGTTAATATGTTATATAGTAGTTATAGTATTATAAACGCATATATATATATATGTTATATATGCTATGAACATCATATGGCCTGGGGATAATTCATACTTGCGAGTTATTATTTTATGAACGACAAATGACGCACGCTGACGCGATCGACACCTAAAACCCTCTGCGGTAGTCGAATTATACATTCATACCGTCAACTCTTCTTTCGAGTTGAATCAATTTTTCCTCTCGCGTTGCACATCATTCTCTAGCCCGCGTGTGTACGCATTGTACGTCTCGAATGGGGAATATCCTGTGAATTCGTTAATGAGATACATTATATCATTCGTCTGCACATTGAATATAAATCAATCGAGGAACGTATAATATCATGTGCCCATATACATATAATCCTTATATGTATATACCTGTTGCAAGCGCATACACAATATATTATATTAAGTATCCTTAACGTTGTGTCAATCATCTAATAAAATATCATATTATAACGCGTACAATGTACATAGTAATCGAAAAGGGTTTCTTTTTCACCATCGCTACGTAAAATAATTCAGGTAGATATTATACTACACGGATTTGTGTGATGCCGGACCCTACATTATGCTTATTTTTCAGTATACCTCACCCCGAGTCCGGACATCTGTTGCGTACCTACTCCGTACGACACGACGGATCATCTCTATAATATTTCATCACTATTTTTATTTGATCGTCCTTTTTGGCGCAACTATCAGCTATACATATCCTACTACCGACATAATATTCCGCACAGCTTTAAATTGTGAGTAAATTGTTAAGACATCTTATATTCAAATTCAAGTATAGTGATATGTTCCTATAATTAATATAAAGTAGATGTCTCGTCTGTACACTTGTTAGTAATAAACTCAACAAGCTTAACAATAGAACGTGTAAGAAAAAAATTAACGCAATATTTTATATATTTCATACGCAAATGTAAACCAACCACTTAAATCTATATAAATCTGAATCTAGAAAGTTTGGAAACCGTAATTTTATTCGTAGCAGCGATCATGCACAGATAACAATAATAGCAGCGCAGATAAAAATATAATATAAATTATAATGCTGTAGTTGAATACTGTACACTAAATGTCTGTACACCATGACTATTAGAGTAAAGTTCTAATTCTAACCTTCATGCTATATGCCTGCATACATCATACATACATTAGTCATTATTAAAGAATACATAGGGAGTCTTGATACAATTATTAATCATGGCTCTGCACTATGTCTGTTCGTTATAAATTATTACAATTGTATACAAAATTAATAACCTTAACCGTCTTATAAAAACATTATATTATACTCGTATTTTATGGTTAATGAAAATATGATATGGGCCCCAGTTTCTCGTTACTATTAGATGTAATTACATATTATTAGATTTCTTATATTTTTAGTTACATATATTTTCTGATTTAAAATAAATATACATCCGTATTTTATTGATAGCATTTTTAATGTTCTTATTTTTAAGGTTTAAAAATATGATAAAAAGTTCCACGAAAGTACTGCTTACAATAATGATAAAAAAAAATTAAGAGTAATTACTTCATACCTAACAAGTAACATTAGTAACATTTCTTCAATACTATTTATGAACATCTAAAATTAAAATTTTGACAAAATAGGATAATATATTCACGCATAGAAACTAAAATAATATTTTGATGAGTTCTTTTCAAATGATTTTTGTTTCTTAAATAAAATTCAAAGGTAATTATTCAATATATTTGTAGAAACTTGAGATTGTCTAAACTAATACTTATTATACTTACTAATTATAATTTTCTATGTTCAATGAATTTTTCGAAAAATTTAGGAAAAATATTAAAAAACATGAGTGAGCATGATTATTTTATGAGTGTTTGAAGTTAAAATGTTGTTAATATTCGTCAAAATTACGAACATTCTCAAAGCATCTTATGTGTATGATTAAAAATTAATAAAATTTTCAATTTTTTTTTCATTGCGATATTCGAAATTTAAATGTTGACAAAATTGGATATTTAATAAAAGTATAACGATTTTAATGATTTATTTGCAATAATTTACTATTTGGGGACATTTTAAAAATATATTAGTTTTAAGCAAACAGTAAAATAGATTACTGTAGTCTGTAATACTGTGATTTCTGTTGATATAAATATATAAAAAATATTCATAGTATACTATACAGACTGACAAACCGTTTCCGCTCATAGAATTGTTTTTAGTTTGTTATGATTATTATGATATTATCATTGAATTTAAATTAAGCACATTCATTACACTAATCCAGTAGCCTACTCAATAATATGGTGCATTCTACACCTACCTACTGTTCAATAGAGTGGTTACTGGTTACCTATACTTGCCGTTTTGTTTTTTTTATAATCATTTAAAGATGACACTCGTCTGCCCACTGTTAGTTGTAATATAAAGCACTTGAAAACACTTTCCATTGGGTTGTATTGTCGTATCAATTACATATGCGAGTAGTGTGCTGTGTGCAAGTGAAACTCGTTCACGTGGGTGCGTCGAGCGCAATACATAACATTATGATATGCATTATTAGGTTATTAGACCTCTGTGGAAGTGCGTACACAAAGCATCCGACTCGTTTTAAGCCCTCCCCGAACATGTGGGATGTTCTAGTGTAGTTTTGGTGCCAGTGTTACTTTCCGCTTATGGTAGCTTGCCGACCTTGCGGTCTACACCACGGCGGAAATTTTCGGACGCCAAACCTCAACACTCACTCACATTAAAACAACTACATAATATAAGCGCGTGCTAGTGTACGAATAACGCGATTACAGCTGTTACGAGATTCTTGCCGTATATGTTTACTACGAAGCATTCTTTGCGATTCCCAAACATAATGCTATACGTACGTATATAATAACGCGAACAGATAAACCGTTACTTTTCCTCAATTCTCAGCTGGATGATAATTTTTATGTTTTTCTCCGTCCAACTCACTACATCATCCGTATAATATAATATTATATGCGTTGTATATTGAGTAATAATTTGCTTTCTATGTATACTTTATAATACACATATAAGAACAACTCAAGCGTTCCTTACTTAAAAAAGAAATTTACTTAAACAAATTGTATTGTGTTGTATACGAATTATATTTAAACAATTTAATACGTATACCATTATTACACTATTAAATTGACATCTTTACCATTTTAATATTTCATTCAGCATATTGAAACTCCAAATCTACATTGCACCTATATATTGTTACAAAATAAAAGTTTTGACGTTAAAATTATGATACTTGAACATGTTGAAGAAATTAAGAAATAAAAATACTAGGAAAATCGTTTTGCTATATTATAAGTATAGTTTTGTAAATGTCAAGTGTAGGTGATGGATGTTCTAATTTTGAATTCAACGATAAATTACCGTAAACGAAAAAGGATTTTGAGCGGAGACAGCCGTCTTTGCGGTCATCTGATGGATCGTCTAAGGACATTTTATTACATAGTATAATTAAATTATTTATTTATCTATAATAGAAATTTGATATAAGTTGAACTAATTTTTTCCAAAAATCAAATCTATGATATTAGAATAATAGGTAATTAAATTAAGAAAAAGTATAAATATACAATCTTATAATGGCGAGGACTTATAGATAATAGATTAAATGATAATTGATAAATATACATACTATACAATATTAAACATAGACAATTAAAAATAATAATTTTAAATGTTTAAAAATCTGATGGAAATCAAAAAAAAAAAAATTATAACAATATTTAGTCAATATATATATATATATATATATATATTGTAGAGTTGAGAAAATGATAAGTTATTTATAATATCCTTATCCTTATTTCTATATCCAGGTAGATACTATTGTTTTTATAAATTCAAAAATTGTTTTTAAATTACATTATACATAAAACAATAAAACATATTATATTGTTTATAGTAAATTATATTATTCAACATATTTTAACACCAAATTTTATTATCTATGCGTATAGAAAAAGGTAAAATACTAAAATATGTGTCTACTGTAAAATATAGATTATCTAAATATTTTTATAATTTTAAATAACATACAAATCAATATTTAAAAATTATTTAATATAATGTAGTCAATTAAAATATTTACCTATTGCCTATTGGTTATAAGTAATTAGTAGTTGCAATTTAGCAGAACATTTTTTATGAAACGTGCATAAAAGAAAATTCTATAAGTTTAGTAATAGATATACTAAGATAAAATATTAATTAACTCTAATGAGTTTTACAAACAGTTTAAAAAAAAATAAAATGAAATAAATATTTAAAATTATTGTGGTTTTCGATTAGTTTTGGTTTAAAAATATGTTCATTTTACTCTCTAGTTCATGAGGTAATAAGAATTTGTTTTCCAATATCTGCAACTCATAAAATAAGAGCTGATGAATAAAACAATAAATAAGATAAGTATTTATAATATATATTATGAATACTAACCAATTGTATAATACATTTAGCTTTTGATATAAATTCATTTTTTTCATAAACTTGGTTAACTAATGTTACTGAAATATGAACTATAGTATTATCAAAGAGACTTGCGCATAAAACTTTTAATCCACGTATGGTAAAACTACCTTCATCATCTATAAATATATCGTATTATAATAGTATTACTATAAAAGGCACATTTCCAAAAAAAAACAAAAACTGGGTAAATCACATTATTGTATGTTAGGTATTTCGAGTATTTTTCATCATTGCAATGGAACTATGGAAGTGTTAAATTTGGATTAAATTGAATAAACGGTAATTAATTAACTTATTATTATTATTATTTAATTATCATAAATAATAAATCGTTGCATAAAATAGGCGGAGATAATATTATATACATTTGTAAATTTAACAGTGTGCAGCTATTTTATAATTAATTTATATTAAATGAATATTATAGTTAGAAGTACAATTAATGACGAATTAATTTTAAAAAAAAATTGCGCACGCACTTATATTTTAAATATTTTTAAAACTCCTTTAAGTAAAACTTATGAGAAATCTTATATTATTATAATGTTCAAGCTTTTTGATCAACCATAAAAGTATTTATCAACATTTATAACAAACACAATATTTTAATTGGCTGTAAATAGCTTGAAATAAATCAAAATATTTTAAAAATTATCATTTAATTAATGTTTAAAAAATTTTTAAATTAATATTTTTGAATAGAAACACAATGGCAATTATAATTTGAGAATATATCTATAATTTATATTTGAATATATAATGTCGTTTAACTTCAAACTCATAAAAATGTAAGTAGCTTTAAAGTTTAGGTTAAACGTTTATTTTTAAATTCCAGTTATTATACTAAGAGGAAATTTATATACTGTTTTCATACTTAGGTGTTAAAATTTAAAACTGTACGAATTTTAACTACAAATTAATTTAAAAATTTTCACGCTTTGTAAATATTTGTACTTAAGTTTCAGCTATGAAAAAAGCTAAATAAAAAAGCTGTAACTATAACAATAGCTAAAATCGACTATTATAATAAAATATATAAAAGATAATATATATTTTCACATACCCACAATTTAAAATATTTATTTGATACTTACTTATTACAAAATTTCTAAACCAAAAATATAAGAATTCTAAACATTTTTCACTAAAAGATTTCGAAGTTTCGAGTATAAAATTAAGCCAAGGATCGGTGGCGAACTCAATTTTAAGACATGATAATTTCTGTACATGATTCAAAAGTTTTGTTGACAATATTATAGTCATGCACTCCCAGGCATGGTCCGACACCCAATCCAATCCCTATAAGTATTATCTAATATTGGTACCTAAACATTTAAAGAATTTGAAACATAGTTAAATTTAAGTTCTTACTTGAGATATAATATTTTCTAATTGCATAAAAACAGTTTTAAAAAAATCAACACTTGGCGTTTCAGTAAATTCATCAGATTTACAAATACCTTTTTCGTAATATTTTAAAATAATTTTAAACAGTGTGATAGATGATATTATACAATTTTGACATAGCCTAGTCATGGCATTTAAAATATATTCACATTTTAACGTTATCGAATACTATAATAAACATAAATTAATTATATAGTGTGTATTTATATTTGGTTATTTTAGTGTAGCATATAGGTATATAAAATAAATGTGATAAATCATACTAGAAGTTTGTGCTCCATATCAGTTTCTTCTTGTTCAAGTTGACATAACTGGATTACAGTATTGATTGCAAGAAAACAAATATTGTTATTTTTTGAGAGGCATAAATTTTCAAGAGCATGTAGAAAGTCCTTATTTTTCTTAATTGTATTTAAAACTAAAATAAAATTGTGGCAAAAATTATTTTATTGACATATAAATCCATATAAATTGCTATCGCCTATATTTGAATTACCTACTTACCATCACTATTAGATAACTTAATTAGAGTTAAGAGATGTTGAAGAAGAGATGATAACAGTGAATACTGTTCAGTGAAAGTGGATTGATGGATTTTTATGATTGAAGACATTGTATAAACTATACTACGATGTTCGTTAATGGAAATATTTGGCCCACGGAGAAAACACGGTTCAGTTAAATTCAATAAAAACGTTAAATTTGTTGCTGAAGTATTAATAATAATTTAATTAAAATGAATTAAATAAATTTATAACAATAAATTTTACAGTATGATACAAAACTATATTTTTATTACCTCCTATTCCTTTAGGATTATCAGTACAACAGAATGAACCTAAATAAATGGGTAACATATCCCAAATAATCAGTAATGTTTTATGTTCATTACAATCGTTTTCTGTGGTTATTATTTTCTTAACAATATTGAATCCTGTCCGTAGTTTATTACTGTCGATATTCATATCGTTAATAAGAACATCCTATAATAAAATTTAAACTAAAAGTTAGAATTATCAATAGTTGTTATAGTTAACAATTATTGATAATGGATATTGTAAATAAATTTACCATCAAACATAACTTTGCTTTATGGTTGTTTAAGCAAAATTTTTCTAACTCAACCAAACTAATTTCATCTAAATTTTGGACCCATTGTTTAATCTAACAATAACGACATAAATTAAATTGAGAAAACTTCGAGAAAATTAAAATATGAATTATACTCACTAATTGTAATTGTATTTTATTGGGTATTATACTTGAAGCGAACAAAAAATGTAACAATGCAGGGTGATGGGTAAAAATCGAATCAATAATTTTGGAGTTTATAAATTCAACTAATTTTTTTGTAGCAAATGCTAAACCGGATATTGTATTTATAGCACGATGAGACACAAAACAAATCTAAAAATAAACACATTTTTAATAATGTGTACAATGTAAAATTATATATTTAATGTTTACAGAAATATTAAAAAGAATTGCTTTAATAACAGGAATGGGAATCTCATTTTTTATTGAACATAAGTAATTGCACATTGGTTCTAAGTATATCGACTCTTTTTCATCGCTAAAATCAATATATATACAAATTCATTAGTAGTTAATAATTATAGATTATTTATACATATATAAATTCAAAATTAGAACTTAATTATCTTCACAATTGTAAATCTACAACTTACAAGTTTGTTGCTTTTTTTTATATTTTATATTTGCCTGCATAATATTGTCAGTTTAGTAAATAACATAGAAAAAATACATAATGAAGAAAGTCATTAATTTATAAACCTTTTAGGACAAAATTGTTTATTTAATTATACCCGTACTGATTTTGGAGGTAACGGAATTAGCACTTGGGAAGTGACGTGGAAAGTTATCACTTTATCGGCAAGAATACTTAAAGAAATATGATGAATAAAAGGGTATAGAATTTTGAGTAAAACTATTGTATTAATTTTTGGTTAATTGGTCAGTTTCAAATTTATTATAAAATTTGTATGTAAAGAGTCATGGGTCACACAGGTATCAGATAATAGAGACTATAAATCAAAAGAATTCTGATGGATTGGAAAGATTTGTTTGTATAAGTTTAAGATGATTAAATTTGATGTATACTTAGATTTGCCTATCGTAAAACTTAATTGGCCCAATAAAAAATGTATAAGTATAGAATAGATTTAGTGAGATAATTTTAATCTAAATATAGGACTCATTTTAAGTATCCAATAGAAACGAAGTTTTCAACAATAAAAAAGAACGAACTAAAAAAAATATCGTGAAATTAATACGTAAATTTCAAACATAAGTAAGTTTCATTCAAAATCCAAAAAATAACGTAGCTTAATTTTCATGACATTTTTTTAAAAGTGTTTATTTATTTACCTATTAACTAACGTGTCTATTTAATCTAAAATGTCTTCATACATAAAAATATTAAGTAATATACAGGTATATCTACTAAAAAGTTAACAATTACTCGTATAATATGAAAAATTTCGTTCTTATTTTTTTTTTTTAACTTTACATTAGCAAAAATGTATCTTCTTTCAATAATTTCTTTAGTAATTATAATATTATATAATACAAAAACTTACTTGGAACAAGTTAAAAGATAGAAATAAATAAAAATTATGATAGAATGTCTAATATCAGTATTTGTGCTATTTGTCAAAACAAAACATAAATCTTTTGGAGTTTTAGGAAAATTCTTGAAGCTCCAAACCATTTGATTACGAAACATATCAATACCACCAGGCCAATGACGGTTTATTTCAAGATGAGCTGTTGATAAATAAAACAACATCTCAAATAACAACTCTTCAGCTAAAATTCCAATTTTACTAAAGAAATAAATATATAATTAATAAATTGAAATAGAATAATTATATATAATCCAAATAAATATTAAAAATTTAAACAATTATACAGGGTTATTTATAATGAATCATCTTATGCTATGCACCTGGCTTCTTGCGTCACCTAATTTTAAGCCATATGACTACGTATTTTTAGGATATGTTAAAGATACTTTTACGTATCACAATTATAAACCAAAGAAGAGATTAGGTGCAAATCAGCACAGTCAATTACGACAGATGTAGTAAGTAATAAATTAGAGTTCCGACTAGATGTTGCTTGTGTGATTAAGAGAAATCACGTAGAAAAGTTATTAGTACCATTACTACCATTACATAAATTTGAAATATTATTCTTTTATTTAATAAATTATATGTCACTCTAAACCAAAAAAACTAAAAATATTTAAGCATTTAAATTCTGATGAATCATCTTGAATAACCCTGTATAAACAAGTCAATTTTGGTTATTATCATATATATAATACTATTAAACCGTGTTCAATGTTAAAATAAATCTCTACTTTTTATGTTTTTCTAATGAGATATCAACAATATATACACCAAATTTTAGTTATTTATTTATATGAATGTATATAGGTAAATAAAATAATCAATTACTTATATTCAATTAATTCATATAAAATGCTAATAATTCTTGACGTTGCATAATGACTAGCTATATTTTGACGAGCAGGAGTAGATAAACTTTCCTTGAACGGACTTATTAAATTTTTGATTGCTTTTCGATAACTTTTATAATATATATTTATATTCAAATTTTTCTATGTGTATATAAATTAAAATTATGATTTCTATATCATACTATTTATATTAGCATATTTACTTTAAAAAATAATCCGTAATATTTACTTACTAAAACAAATGGTAAGCTTATGTGTTTTATCATATACCAAGCTACATTTTTCAATAGTTTGGCTATTTCTGTATGTTTTTTTAAATTTTCATTTAGTAACACTCTCTTTATTATGGTAGAATAAAGTCTAAACAATCAGAATACATATATAAGGTTATTAATGATCATAATTAATAAAATGTATAGGTATCTACAAAATAATTCATATTAAATTTAGAAATGATACTGTAGATTAAATGATTAATAACAAATAAATACATTACACAGAGTGAATTAAGGCTAATAGTTTCATAAAAAACGTAAAATACAATATTTATTCCAGTATACTTATTATATTTAGACAATTTTAAAATGTTAATAGATGATAGATGAATATTTTTCTATCTTATTTCATGAAGTATCCTTTTTACCTAGAACACGAAGTACCTATACTCTATATACTGGTTCAGAAATTCGCTCAAATTTTGATTTAGATACATAAAAATTTTAATAAAAATTCTCTACTTCATAAAGTGTAATGATCAGTGACCGCACTGATCAAAATTTCAACTTTAGTAGGAACTACCCCACTTTTGATCTTTGTTCTCTTTTTAAATGATCTTATTTTTATCATATATTCACACGAAAATTCAAAATATTTATTTTTTTAAATTTCATATAAGTTTTCTTAAATGGTAAAACATAAGCTTTTTACCATCTATTAATTAGTTAATCTATAATTTTAGTTATACAATTGATACCACTAGGGCATTATCCATTGTTATTATTCAGACATTAATTATCAATTTAAATAATATTATGAATATATTTTTTTTATTAATATAACATAAAACTCTTTAAAAAACATAACAAATATAAGTTATTAAAAATATGATCTATAAGTATACATTTAAATTCCATAAATTAAAATGCGTATAATTGAAGAAAAAATAGTGATGCTCATGCTTAGTGAATCACTCTGTATAATAAATATATTTTTATCTCTTTTCAATTCAATTATTATTCGTCAGTATTCTTTAGATTTAATGTACCTAATATGCCTTAATAATAATGTTTACTTGCATTACTTATATACTAAAAATTATACATGTATGTCTATTAATAAAAATATTTTGGGATTCGTGGCATTATGCCCATCATGTCATTCTTGTTTATGCTACTGATTAATTTAAAATAAATTATAAGTACCTTAATAAACTACTAGAAAGATTTGATGCGATGTCAACCACACGAGGGTCAATGATACATTTTCCTGTTGCCTTTTTACAAAATGCCTTTGAAATAGACATACTCGTATTGTATAATTTATTACTTAACTCAATTGAAGGACATGACAAAATATACGTTAGTATAGAAATAGCATTAATAACGCAATGTGCAGGTAAATTTTGTGAATTTGTAAAAACCATTTTTATAATGGTTAAAACTTGTGGTATATTGCAGATTTCTTGAAGGTTTGTTCCTTTCCTAAAATCAAGTACAATAATACTCAGTAGTATAGTTGTTTTACATTATATGTTTAACTTAATCGTGTAGTTACAAAAAATATTGCATACTTTTTAATAATTATTGCCAATAGTTGAATTAAATCAAGTACTAAAGCATCGCTAGTTCTTATTAAAAATACAAGTGTTCGCAATAAACTATTACAAGTATATACTACATCATTTCTTTTGTAAAATAAATCATTGTTTGATAGCATCCATATGCATAAACATATACTTCTAAAATAAAATAGTTATAATTTTCTAATTATACATAACTAATATGATACTCTTTTATACATTTTCATAAATAAAAAAAATAGATGTTAAATTTAATTATTTACTGTATTAACGGAGTATTAATTGAAAGTAAAGGTTCACACAAAAATTGAATCATATCAGCATCTAAATATGTTTTACTGACTAGATTGAACTGTTTTGGATCTTTTAAACTTCGAATCATAAATTGAATACTTTTATCCTGTTAATTGAAACATTGAATGATGATCATGATATTACCTTAGAAATTTTTATATTTACAATTATATTATATTTCTTTTTAATTAAATTTGACCTATTTTAATTGCAAAAGCTTAACTATATGTAGTAAATAACTATTATAACTACTTTAGATAAAAATGAATGTAAAAAAATATGTATAAAACAAACGAAAAAGTATTTTTTTTATATATTTTTGCAATGTACCCTAGGAAAAAAATGCAATTCATTAAAATTATACACATTATAAAATTTTTATCAAGTTTATATTTCGATAAATATAATTATTAATTATTAAAATGAGTATATTCTGTACATACATAACTAAGATATATTTTATACTGTGCAATAATATTTAATAATATAGGGCCGCCAAAATTCCATAAGAAACAAATATTAATATTTTAATTTTTTAAGATCGAGGACAGATATATGGTGGTTAAATAGTTAAACTATTGATTAAAAACGATTAAATAATAAATATACCTTTCAATATATACATAAAAAAATTAGTTTATGTACCTATATACTTACCTATGTTCTTTATTTGATTGCAAACGAATATAGTTATTTCAATTTATTAAAGTAAATCAATATAAATTCGTTGGATTGAAAGATACGATTATCATAAGAATATAAACGAGTATATATATATGTCTATACTCCATAGTCATAAACTACTTTTTATCCTGGAAAAATTAAGTTAGAACCTAAACTTTAAGGGATAGCTTACACATAAATATTATCTTGAAAAACAAAAAATCTAGATTGTTTATTTTTAATTGTCATTAGTTACAATTTACAAAGAAAAAAACAGTTATAGTTTAATTTGGTTTTATAGTACTTTTTTAATAATGTCATTCTGCTGGCTTATGATTCTGTCCTAATTTTCTAGTGAAAAAGTTAGAATGTTCGGCGTGACTTCACATATATACTAATAGATAATAATCCATTGCAGCGCTGTAGTTCTAGGTCACCTAAACTAGGTGCCACTGATTACTAATATAATAGGTACTCGCCTGTAGTACCCATGTCCTACCCCTACCTAAATATTACTTTATATTACAAATATTTAACTTTTAATCAATTTACATACAAAATAAAATATTGCATTTTATATTCAATGTAATGAAAATATAGGCACACACGAATTGCGTACCAAGCCAGGACGCTTGTACAATAAGCAAAAATTTTTTGAATGAATTGCGTTTAAGAGAAAAATCCTATTCAATACTAATTTTTAACTTTTTCGGTATTTATATTTGTGGGTATAAAATTTTTTATTATTATTTAATTGGTTTGTTTTAGTTTTTTTTTAATTTGATATTCTTTCTTATATCGGTCCCAACACATGGAATTTTTCAAGATAATTTCTCATAAATATCGTAGTATCGGCTTGCATATTTTTATAACTTCTAAAAATAATATACTTATGTTTGGGCGAGAAGAATAAAAAGAAAAAATTATTAAATATTGAATTAAAAGATCTTATTTGTACACCTCCTTCTAATATATATTATGTACAAGAAGAACTCAATTTAATATTATTAACTGTTAAGTTTAATATTGTAAGAATAAATAACTTCATAGAAAATATATTTATAAAATTAAAAATTAGTTTGGAAACAACATCATAATTATGTTCAAATTAAACTTAAGATACAATTCGAAGGACACCGAATGAAAATAGAGTTTATCTCCATCTAGATTTATTTCAAGATTATACATTTTTTATTGCAAATTATAATCAATATTAATTACTTAGTCCGTCAATTCAATAGCCCATATATGGCTTTGGTATTTATAAGATGTATCACGGAAAAAAGTGACCTGTATCATAATATTCATAATATGATAGTATACCTTAAGGGTAGTTTTTCAAATGCGTCTCGAAATGAACTCTTATTTTAATGTTTTAGATCTGAATAAGGTACCTTAGAGTACGTCCCAAGAAAAAAGATCATAATTTGACGAAGCCGAGTATGTCCTAGTACAATAAATTATAGTTACCCTAAGTACACCATGAAGAAGTGAACTAGCTTACACTTTAAAAATATTTGGTTATTATTATTTATTAAATTATTTTGGCTTACAATCATTTTTAAAATACTGGATGACATATTTTAAAATGTTTATAATTTAATATTATTTATTTAATTTCGTTTGATTTTTCAATACCATAATTTTCACATAATCGAATCCGATAAATCTAGAAATTTGCTCAGTTTGGTATTTTTTTTAGTATCTTCAATAAATTTAACTTTATCTTATTGCCTGATCTAATTTTTTTAGATTCTTGTATGATAAAAAATTTGAATCAAATTTTTCGTGCATATTTGATTTTTTTAATATTTCGAAGAAGATAACATTATTTCTGAATGATGTTATTTACTAAGACATACTCAAATGAATCATAACGAACACCGTATTTCATAATTTTGGCACGTTAACTATCGCCAGTTTACCGGTAAATATTAGGTAAACCTAAATCAAATAGGTCAATAAATGTATTATTTTAATGATCTAAGATAGTAAGTAATAATAATAAATAGCATTACGTGAATATTTCATGTATATCATATGTATTTGATGTTTAATATTGGTATAATACCTATAATTTTTTTTTTCATTAAAAAGAAGAATTTATAATATACAGCATATGTAAAATAAGCAAATCGGATATAATATAAGATGATAATATAGTATGAAAAGAAAGGCTGTCTAGTGAAATAAATTAAAAATTAATTTGTTAGAGTAATGTCACATATAGACACATAGTTCATAGGTAGATGCCGTAGAAATATACAAGTTTTAGTGGCCCGGGGATACTAAGCCATATTTATTTAAACTTATTTATGTCATTATTTATATATAAAAAAATAATTTGGCTACCATTAATTATTATTGTATTAACATTTTTGATAAATTATTTAATACTGATTTGTTATAGCCCCGCCGCGGCGAGTGAAAACTTTATAGCCTCGTCACTCAGGTTTGTTATAGTCCCGCCATCCATATAACAATAAACATATCATATAATTAATATAAAATAATGAGTTTATTTATTTATATTTATTAATCTAATAATTCAATGACATGAAAATATTTTTTTTAAATATGATTATGTTAAAAATGTATAAATAATGTGTATAAAAATGTTTATGGTTTCTGCTATTCCCAAAATTCTGCTACATCTTTTAAAATGGTGTCAAACAGATCACTGTTATTCAGTTTTGATCGCCATATAAATTCAGCCATGTAAGAATCTAAAAAATGTCTGTCTGTTCCTCTACTTTTATTGTTGCCCCATTTGGTAGATTGAAGATTATTAGGTATCTAATAATAATGGTACGTATTTTCCGTTGAATTATTTTATAATATCGGTAATATTATTAAATAATTGATTATTAAGTATCTAAGAGTAATGCTATGTAATATGCATTTTCTATCAAATTATTTTATATTTATACGATGTGTTTATTGTTACATGGATGGCGGGGCTATAACAAACCTGAGTGGCAAGAGTAGACGAGCAGTGTAGGTAGGAGTATGGTACCAATTTTCAAAAAGAGGGAGAATAAATATAAATGGTTTGGTCATGTTATGAGATTATGTGACTTGGATATGCAAATAGAATGGTTAAAGAAATAAATATAGAATGGCAAAAGGGAGAGTATTACCAAAAAATAAATAGACAGAAAATAACTAGTGAGAGTAATATTATGAGGTGAAGGAGACCTACGGAGGTGTATGACAAGGGTGGCTGACTTCACATATATGTTTTAAAGTGAAGAGTAAGGAAAAATATGAAGAATCGTGTTTTAAAAAAATGATGATTTACATGTAAAATATTACAGCCTATATAAGTATTAACGTACTGTTATAGTGTTATAGAAATCAAAGTATTACACTTTTTTTTAACAATTAACTAATATAAACGTAAAAGGTATTTTTGAAATAACAGGTATCTATAAAAGACATCAGTAACTAATAAATATTGTTATTTATAACCTTAGCCATCTTTGCATACCTACCTGAAAGACTATGTTTCGCGACAGCAACATTTTTTTCAATTTGATCGTAATCACTTCCATTTCTACACTATATATAAAATAATATATATTATGTTGTCAGAGGGATCGTCACGGACAAGGGTATTGTACAACACACTTACAGAATATCACACTTAATACCTTTATAAACATGTATATATCAAGAAATTATTTTTAAAAATTTAAACGTTAAGAGAAAAATAAGGCATTAGCGTCTAGCAAAAATACACAAAGAGAAATAATGGCCAAACTTTGGCGCGCAATAAAATATATTTAATCTACATTATAGGTATTATGATAATAAACCAATTGAAGTATACCTACAGTAGAGCACTATAAAAAATTAACCTAACCTATCCCTGGTTAGTCTCATGGAATAACAAGTTTAATTTTGCTTTCGACGAACGGTCGTCGTTTTTCTTCCATGTACTAGCGCGCAGTCCATACAATATCAGTTGTTGTTTCTTATCAAACGTGCAATTTTTCTTTTCAATGTCGTCCGCAACGTTCACGGTCCGTCTTTCTTCTTTATTTTTCTACCGGAGCGAATGTTTTGTTCGGTACACTGTTTTATAAACACACATCCCCGCCGAAGAAAGACGACCGTTGTGCGTACACCATACTAAAATTAAATGTGGTGTACAAGACGTGATTTCGTTAAATAATCGATTTGATTTTGAACGCAATTCGTGGACAACACAAATGATAGAGTTTCATAAACTTTGAGCCTAAACTCGGTTAATGGGACATTTCAACGAGCACCAAGTGTTCAGAAAATGTTATCCTACGAGTAAGTTATAATTATTATTATTATTTTTTAATCATACAGGTTAACTAAATTAATAAATTACTAATATACCATACTTTGTTAATGTAATAATTAATCATTCAATGGATGTGTATGTTCTGTGAAATAGAATAATAAATCAAGAAGATACTGCCATAATAAGAGAAGTCTATGACAATGACAACTCGCAAGAAATGTTTGAACAGGAATTGGATAATGCCTTAGAGGCAGGCTACAAGTATATTATTATTGAACCAACTCAGTTGGCTGATGAAACTGTCAGATGGATTACTGTTGGCAATTTTCTTTCTCAAACAGCTATCATATCTAGTGTTTTGTCTGCAGGAACAGGTTTGAAATTATGTTCAATTAGTAGCAGTTTCTTAAATAAGCTATTTAAATTATTGTCTACTATAAATTTAGTTTAGTACCTATCATTAAAACAGAATTTAAACATTTAGTTTAAATAGAGAAATAGGAAACCATAATTTATTAGAACTAAAAGTTCTATTATCTTAATAAGTCAACATTTTGTGTAATTAATCAAATAATATTTTAATTATCTAATTAAGTAGTATTTATACATTTACATAAAAGTAAATAAAATAGGTTTAAAAATAAATAATTATAGATTATTTTTCAATACTTATATAGGAATATACATATAATCTAGGAATTTTATATTATGTTAAGTTTATACAATTTGTTATTATTTTAATAAATTTTACTTTTTTATTTTATTTTTTTTTACACTAATATTAGCTCACTTTTGGACTTCCAAGCCATTTTTATATGGTCCCTTGTGCATGGCTTCGTTTGTATGCACTGGACTATATATGATCTCTTGGCAGTTTGATCCATGCTGCAAGTATCAGGTGCACAAGGACCCAAGATTGAAATCACTCCAAAAGGAAGACAACACTCCGTCATTACCAGTGGTTATAGAACGTGGCAGTGATACCAAGAGGAAAATTGTACACACTTCAGTAACAGTAGTGTCAACTGCTTATTGTATGTGGAAGCTGTACGAATATTGCAAATAATCTTTCAAATTGAGATCAAATTTTTATGGGAACATGATGGTTCAAGAACAGTCAGCACATTTTAAAATTATATTTTATATATGTATACTTGATTTTATTTTATTTACCTACCAACTTATGATTGTATGTACCTGATAATGTTGAATGCCAGTGACTGAGAGATTTCCTTCTTGGGTGTAAAGCATATAAACATATTAATCAGACTCTATCTACATTTCATCTTTAATGAATTAATGAATAATATAAATAATATTCAATGTAAATTCATTGTTCACTGGAAATATTATCGGCTTTAATTTGCGGTATCATATTAAAGAACTTGAAATGTAATTTTATAAAAAAAAATGTTTAAATACCTATTTCCATCTTTAACAAGTTTTAAATTAAAATAATACATTTATTATTAGGTTATAGAAACATACTGACAATTATTAAGTCTTATTATTTGTTTTATATAAAATAATAATAGTAACTATTGACAAAGTATAATTTCTATTTTCCTAATATTTAAACATTTTTAATTATCCTAAATTTTAATCACTGACTTAAATTATATTTTTAGAATTCTTATAAATGTTTGTTGCTATATAAATCATTAAATTGTTCAATAAGTTAAAAATAATTTAAACTCAATATTATTTTTCATCAATTAAAATTTATTATTATATATAATAAGTTAAATAATTAAAATCTTTATATTTGTGGAAATAACTTCTTTATACACTTGATGTTTATGGACGAGTGAACGGATATATCTCAGGCATCTAAATAGGTGTAAAATGTTTTAGCACACAGATTTGATCATGTTAAATATTGTCTATAATTCAATAATTACTAACAATATTAGATCATGCTAAAAATTGCCATTAAAATAAAAACAAAACAGTAATGTTTTATACTCGTGACGTGATAAATTATTTATTTATTATTTTTATTGTTAATTAATGCGATAGTAATATTATATTCTTTGTTGTTCTAAAGTTCTTTATTGTAATTTAAAATAACCGTGAATTATCAAATATGTAATAGTTAAAAACTTAAAGAGTCAAAAATAATTTTATTTAATTACAGAATATTGTAAAATAAAGATACTTGTATTTTATAAAAGAAAATTAGGTTTCATTTTAAAGGCAACAAATTAATCTCAATTTCGATCTAATATAAAGGTTGTTCTAAAGGTTAACTAATATCTAAAAACTACCTATAATCGTTCTATAGTTTAAGGTGAACGTGGCATGCCAAAGTATAAATGGAACATAATATTTTAAAATAATCTATTGAGGTTAAGTTGTTTTTTTTATGAATATAACATACTATATACTTAAATATTACTCCCTTGTGGAAGTAGATTCACAATATTATGTTGCTATAAATTGTAAAATTATGAATGATCAAAATTACGAATTCCATTGTCTGTTTTTTTTTTTTTTTACAGACTTATTTAACCATTTATGAATAGACTGAAAAATATCACAAAATAAATTTCTCAACATTTTACAACTGGCATAAAATATTGTATGTGATTTATTATTATAAGATTATAATGTTTAGAAAATAAAACAATATTAAAAATTGTATATCATAATAAATTGCATTCTATAATTAATTAAATTTAGTGTTTAAGTAACTTTCGTAAAAACAAACTTTCTATAACAACGAATTTTTGATGTCAAGAACAATGGACGTTTTATAGTTACAAGTATATGTGCTTGATATTTTCAAAATAAGCAACATGGACAATAGTAAAACAATAAAATAACCTACATTTATACACATATAATTTGTTTTATTCTATCAGAGAATTTTTTGTCAATAATAATTTTTTTTTAAACATTAAAACTAGACAAGAATTTATAAGATATGTTAAGCGTAACAATTACATGAGAATGTACACTAGTTTTCTTTTTGTAGGTTTCAATAATTTGTTTACCATTATAATGTATCTACATTTATGAAGGCTACAAATAGTTCAAAAAAAAAAAAAACAACAATAAAGATCTAAATTTATCCTCATAAATATTTGCACACATTGAGTTATCATCTACAATGGTATAGTTTCTTAATCATTTAAGTTAACAATCTAATATTAACTGACTAAAGAACGTTATTCTAAAAATAACTAAAAATATTTAACAGTACATAAGGTTTTACTATATCAACAACTCACTATAAGTATACATAAATAATTGACAGAAATCAGAAGAACTACTTATAATATATGTATGAGCTATATGAGATTTCTAAAATGTAATTGTCGATACGCTGTTGTTATTCAAATTTGTATGTAAATTATAAGTGATTAATTATAAAAAGAACACAAAATGTGTAACAAACAAGCACCATTTTAAGCAACAAAAATGTATCAACAATAAAAAAGTTATTTTATAAAAAAAAGGAGATCATTTAAATTATAACATAATTAAACTTATTGTTTGCAATACATTTTGTGTGAAATAAATTGGTAGTAATTAATAAACTCTATACCTAAAACAATATTTAAAATTTAAATTTATGTAAACCTAAGATGTAATAGTATTTAAGGATTATACAATAATAATAATATAATAGTAAAAAATGTTATACTACACTAATGGTAGCAGTGATCGTAAGTAGTGGTGACGTGAACTTTATTTATGAAGCATATATAATTTAAATTTTTTGATTAAAGACACAAATTCCTATATTTTTAATTTACAGTACAAGTGAAAATAAATTTTCTTTCAATTTGAGAGAATGTCTCATCAGTATGTGTTGTATTTCGTTTTATAAGTAGTAACAGCATAGTCTCGTTTAGCTTTGTTAATTTTAATATTAACATCAAATTTAAATGTTATTTAACTTAAATGTTTCTGTAATCTTTTAGAAATTTTTTTTTTTTTTTTTTGATATTTTATGTCCAATAATAAATAAATTCACTATAATATTAAAACTAAATAGATATAAATTTACTGTGGTTTGCAGTTCTAAGATGAAGAAAAAACATGTAAATGAGACATTCGCATAACTTTAAATACAATAAATTGTCAAGTATGGCTATACCCCATTTATGCTTTTTTTATAACACAAACAATACTTCATGAAAAACTATTTCATGTCACCACCGACTATGAGTTATCAATTTTCTATCTTAGTTAATGATGCACAGTAAATATTTAAAAAAACCAATGGTGTTTTAACCCTATCTTAGTTTAAAATTAAAAGCTCATTTTTATCATTTATTTTTCAAGCTTAAACAATTAGTTTGTGAAAATACTAATACGTATCTAATAATTTGTTACTGATAAAATTATTTCTAATATCTTCAATCATCAACAAAAGTGCAATAAATATTTATATTAATTATATATAAGAATAAAAGTACTTCACAACTTCCAATGTAAAATATTATAGTGCAAAAACAAAATATTTTAAATAATAATCAATATTAATGAAAAATTCTCTTATTATTATTTTAATTTATAAATTATTGACAGGAAAATCATGATGCAATTTTATGAGTTATAACTTATAATAATGTAAACAATGATTTTGATAGAAGAGTGGGTACATTTATTTGTTATTAAATAAGTAATTAAAATAGTTTGATTTAGAAATCGATAAAGAAATATAAATAGGGAATTTAATTAAGTTGAATTTTAAAACTAATTATAATTTTATATTTAATTGTGCATTATAAATAAATTAAACTGTGAATTTAAATTAAATAAAAATTCATTTTGTACGTATTTTCTTTAAATGTTGACAATGATTTTTTAAATAATGACAATTGACATTTATCCATAATATTTAATTTTTCTTTTAATGATAAATTATTATGAAACACATAATCACATAAAAAATTAATTAAATTATCATAGTTTTGTTTATTATTACTCTAAGTTTTACTTTTAATTAATATCAACTATATAGTATTCTGGCAATTTCAAATGGAATCAGATTTATACCACTTGTTATATCAATATTGATCATACTTAATAAATCACAAATTATGATATTAATTTGTTTCTTTTAGGGCAGTTTTGTACAATTATACTTATCTAAATAATTCAATTATGGCATTTAGTTTTAATAAGTAAACAATAAACATTGTACAAATTTAAGATATACAAATTAAATAAATAATTTATGCCAAACTGTGCATCACTAACAACTAGGTATTTATAATCAAAAATACAAAATTATAAGTACTCAAAAAATAATAATTAACAGCTAATATCTAGAAATCTAGTTGACTGACCTGGCTGTTTGTCAAATGTGAGATTCCCGTATGCCGACGATAACGGGCTGTAGCCGACGCTCGTCCGTCTGATGGCGGGGAATCCTTGAATCCTACATTTTCTGACTATTTTGCTGGTCAGCCCTATATTTCATTAGCCAAAAATAAAACCTTGGCCATACATAACGTAGGCCAATTGCTAAACGAGCATACAATGGAGCAATGATGACCTCTTGTTCATCGTTAACAACAGCGTCTACTATTCGTTGAGCAACATATTCAGCCGAGTATCCAGACATTGTAGATTCATCCATAACTGCAAAATATAAACATTTAATAATAACATATTACTACTATTTTTAAATAAAAATTAATATCAAATGAAAACGCCTACCACCATATTGTGATCCAGATCCAGTCAATGCATTCAATGACAAATTTGTTTGAATGTGCCCAGGGCTTACAACGGTTACTTTTACTTTATGATGTGATATTTCAGCTCGGAGAGTATCAAAGAATGCTTGTAAAGCATGTTTAGATGCAGTATATGCTGATCTAAAAATAATATAAGCACATAAAATTAATTTAATATTTTCAAATTGTCAATAAAAAAAAAAAAATATATATTATTTACAACATAACCAAGGTTTAATATCTGTATTTCTTACACAAAAGTATAATAAAATAAGTAATCTGTAATAAACGGTTGAAAAATTAATTTAGAAAAAACTTTTTTCAAAAATTAAAAAAAAATAAAATATTTTTGATAAAATTATTATTTACAAGGAAAATATACCAAATAATATTTTAAAGTTCATTCATTAATAATGTACTATTGGGATATTTTTATATTAAAATAAAATATTTGATTATTTAATTCCAAAAGTAGTCAAAACTACACTGTAGTATATCAATGATTTTATATTTTAGTACCTAACAATAAATATAAGTAGAAAATACAAAACCATATCATATACAACAAATTATATTTGGGTCAATTTTATTTTTATTGTTGCTTAGATAAGCGGTTTACATAATATTGTAAACCGTATGCCATTGGTAAACTGCATATTTGAGCAGCACTTAACAAATACCTCTTTACATGAAGACTTCATTTCGACCAAATTATAACTCAACTGTGCTCAAAAACACTTTCAAACAACCTAAATAGATGCCTCAAATAAAAATGATCAAAAAATCTACTCAATGTTATCTAAATTTTATTAAGTTAATTTACATTTAACTCTAATTTGAACTTTTGCTCCTTAATTTTCTATAATATTTATCTACCCTCAAATTTACTTATTTTACATATAGTATAAGTTGTAGATATTTTCAAAAACATAAATAAGAAACAATATATTTCAATTAAAATTTAATTTAAAAATTGAAAATAATATTGATCAGCTAAATTTATCTTTACTTATTAAAAATAAACAACAATCTTAAGTCGTAACCAATATTAATTTTTGATTTAACATTTTAATTATGATTTTATTTGAATTATTCAACATTTTCAATTGAAACTACAATTTTTATTAAGTGTTGAATAATTTAAATTTCTTGTTAGGTTAATATGGTAAATTATAATAATTATAATCAATGGAATATAAATATAACTAAGTAATATTAAATATTTTTATAATTTGTGAATTGTCAAACACGAATTAGTACTAGGTATATATTGTAATTTTAAATAATATTATATTACCTAAATGGAATAGCAATTTTTCCTTGAACACTACTAATTGCTACTATATGTCCACTTTTGTGGTGAATCATACTAGGCAATATGGCTAAAAGAGAATATTAACATATTAACATTAGTTATTACAGTTCAAATACTAAAAATTGAGAAAATTCAATTTTTTAAATTTTTTATTTACCTTTAGTTAAAGCAACTTGGCCAAAATAGTTGACCAACATTACTTTGTAATCTACTTCTGCCATTGTTGCTTCAGCTCTACCTCTATAGCTGATGCCAGCATTGTTGATGAGAATATCTACACGACCAAAAACTCCTAAAACTTTTTGACTAACTACTTCTATTGTTGATTGGTCAATAAGATCCAAGACGAGAATACACGGTTTGTTAACATTCTTAATCTACAAGAATAATTAAACTTGCAAATAGAAAAATATGTTAAAATAATAAAACTTTTTAATTACATCACTTCGGCTTAATAAATCATTTTTAACTCGTTCTAATTCATTGCTGCTACGTCCCGTTAAAATTAGTGCACAGCCATGGGAATAAAACTCATGCGCTAATGTCTCACCTAATCCAGAACTGGCACCTGTAATAAGTACAACCTAACAAAATAGTTGATTATTAAAAAAATATTTCTGAAAATGATTAGTTAAGATAGATAACCAAATAAAATTTAATTTAGCTCATTTAACTAGTTAAATTTATAATATGATTGCCATATAAGCAATAGGTACTTATAATAATTCACTTTTAATTTAAATATATTTGATATAATAGTATGATGCTATGACAGAAAAATTCCAGTGTAAAATACAAAATTTTGAATACTCAATAAGCGCAGACTTCTTAATAATTAAATTATATTATTAATAGCATTTTTTGTTTCTGTTTCTGATTTTATACAGCTAAATCTTCATGAGTAACAAGGACCTAGTGTCATGCAGGTCTTCCATAAATAAATTTAAAGAAAAGAAAATATTACACTGTTACAATATATAACTAATATACTTCAAAAATAATCATAAGTTACAAATTATTGAATCAATCAAATAAAAAATCTGGAAGAATGAAAAAATAAATTAATACCAGTGTACAAAGTCCACAGCGATCAAAGGAAAAAGCTAGGGTCGTATAAAGGTCATAGACATTTAGTAGTACAACAAAACTGAAAAACTGATAGTTAAAACGTTTGGGTTTACCTTTGAGTTGAGTGTGCGATATCTGTTATTGAAACACTTCTTAAGTACATAAACTGACATCGGTATTAGGATTGGCAGAGAACAACAAACGTACTGCCAGGCAATCGGAGTGGCGTGAACGTCAGACATCGCAATGGCGTTTTTGATATTAGTCGTTTATAGTTAAAAAATAATAAGTATCTTCAAATTGCAGACCTTGTCGACGTCGAGTTCCAAAGTAAATCTGAAACGACACTATATAGTTAAAATGTAATGCTTGCAAACGAACAAATTGCATACGGGAGATAAATTTAATTTTAAATTTGTATTCAATTTTTTATTTACTTCTCGGATAAGAGCAATCGAACTGATAACGACAAACAGTGATTACTAATATTGCAACGCCAGTGTGGTTAACCGTTAACGTTCAGATTTGACCTGCACACTGCACAGTGATGACTGACGGACGTGCACGTCCCCTAAATAACATAAGCATAACTACATTTTATTGAACGGTAAGTAAATAAATAATAAAAATAAATATTATCGTATAACTATATAATTTATAAAAAACAAGATATATGATTATTCAATATTAATATTTAACGGTCCTATTGCCCGATGCACGAAGCCACGAATCTCTAAATGGTGGAATCGTAATCACCATTCACCGCACGCGATATTCTATAGGTAAGGGTTAGACGTTACCATCGCGGCGTAACAAAACTTACAAAACAAACTTTTTTCATCGTGTACACTGTGCAACCAAAAAAACAGTTATTAGGACAATTAGGTACAAAAAAGACAATAATATTATACTGATGTCATTAAAAAAATATATATATATAAAAAATTTAAATTATTTTAACCGAATTTTATTTTTATAAACCGCAGATTTGCTGAATACTGAATATTTCAATAACTGTCAATAATCAATATACATTTTACAACTCTTCAAATATATATACTATGCATACTACTGTTTACACTCGGGATTTCTTATGGCACGTTGCCATCAAGAACATTTGTTTAATTTATAATAATATGTACGATGTACCTAATATGGTAATATGTATTATGATTCAAAAGTAAATAAGTATGTAGAAATGGGTACCGCTCTGCTGTACATTAAATGTCGAGAGTCATTACTCATTATTATAGGGGTCTTAAATTTGAATTAAATGATCTATCGACTTCCATTATGGACATTATATATTATAATATATGAACAACAGTTCTGACTTCTGAGCCGAAACAGTTTATTAACCTATATTAATATATTATTACCAAAGCTATCGATAAAGCTATTAAAATAATTTATTCCATTGTGTTATAATAGGTTGATATAATTCCCGAAAATATTGTATTAATTACATTATTAGTATATTTTAATAATTATGATATTTATACTATAATATATAATACAAAATTTAATAATATCTTTCTGTAAATACTGCAAAATAGTAAAAATAGATTTATAGTATTTATAGATAAATAATATTTAAAATAAGTTAAAAATTTTATTGTGTATAGTAAAATTTATAATAATGAAAAAAAAACATAAAAGCTTAAATTCCCACATACAGGTAAAGTTTTTAAATAAAATTATAACAAGATAATTGGCACATCGTTATTTATCGTTTAAATAATATGTAATTTAGACAACTTAGTCCAAATCGGAACTTAAATTTCTTTAAAAATAATTGTTTTTATAAATATTTTAGATTTTATAGTTTCAGTAATTCAGTATAAACTATGAACTCATAAAGAATCTTATATTAATTTTCAAAACTTAGATATTAAAAGAAAAGTTTTTATTAATTTCAAACTACAAAATATTTTGTGGTTTTGACACATTACTAACTTTAAATCCATATAAAAAAAGAAATGTACCTATGTATTTTTATTATTTTTATACAAATATATGAATAATAGTAATAATTTTTGTGGGATTTTATATTACATTTTAATTGCTGGAATAAAAATCATGTTAAAGACTTTAGATTCATCACTTCATGCTACCTAAATAAATGTTTTATTTAATTATGAAAATCGACAAAAATTACATACGTGTACTTACTTTCACAATATACATATTATGTATATTATTGTACATATTATTATATGTGTGTATATTAATATTAAAACAGTACGCCACATTGTGAATATTTACCTCAAGATCACATTCGTTGGAGTTATCAAAAAACTCCAAGCGGAACCGAAAGTAATTAATTATGTAGATGAAAAATTTGGAATTCTAATGGTAAACTTATTACCATTTCGCCATTTTTAGTTTAGTTTTGATTTTAGTTACCTGGTTCACCAGTTATTGTGTTATTTATTAACTATTCATTCTATTTTATTTTTATTTATTTTATTTACGTTAAAATTGTATTATATGCAATAGTACCTAATAAATATACAATGTAGTGAATGTATCTATCTAAACGACTAAACACAATTGTAGTCCGGGACTTGGCAGTATTTAGTTAATTAAATATATTTGTGTTCAAATATGTTTTTGTAGATATACCTGTCAATTAGTTGTGTATGTTCTTCTATTTAATTATTTTGAAATTAAAAGTATGCAAACATAGATTTTATGACCAAAATCACAGCATTACACGTGCTTAACGTCTCAGCGATCAGTGTAAAATTTAAAGATGACGAAGTGACGAAGAAATATTGAAGAATGTAGGTACAGGCATGGGCGCCCATTGGGGGGGAGGGCAAGACAGGGCACTTGCCCCCCCCCCCCCTGGGAAAAATATTACCACAATATTACCTTATTACCGAGGCAAATTATTTGTTGAAATCACTTTTAAGATATGAAATAAATATAAAAATATAGGTACTCATTGTTATCGTATATTAACATCATAGATAGGTCGTATTCTGTAGTCTGTATAACCTATACGTAAAATAATTTATCGCAGATAATTTGTGGTAAATCTATAAAGATCATAATATAGGTACTACAAATATTTTAACCTAACGCAAACAAGGATACTTTCATTCAGGATGTCATTTATATGTTTGGAATAAAACGAAGAAATTTACAGTTCTTATTTACTGTTACCGAATAATATACTTCATTATATTATTTAATTTCTATTTTTTTATATACTTATTAAAATTATTATTTATTTATTTATTTATTTATTCGTATGGCAATTATTATATTAATACACTATATATATGTATATATATACAAATAAAAATATAACATGCATGTATTATGTATAGTGTATACATTTATATGTGAAAAATAACATTAAATCTTTATTATCTTACATTCGAAAATTTTTTTATTTTGACCCCCCGTAAAATATTACCTATGGGCGCCCATGGGTACAGGAAATGCGTATTGAGTGAGAACAATTTACACAGATTTATAAAGTTCGAATTAAATATTGGATGAGGCAAATAAAGAAAAGATGTACCTATATAAAATACTATGTTATAAAATCACAAAATTTTAATTAGGCTCAATGAAACTTGAAAATGTCAAGATTATATTAATAGCGCTAACAAGTAGGTAATAATTCTAACATAAATTAATCTTGTTTTTCACTTATCAAGTGTTTCAAAGTGAAAAGTGAAGCAGTAAGTTTTGATCAAATACTATGGAAAAAACACAAGGTTATGAAGATACAATAAAATGTTTCAGAATCTTAAGAGCAGAAGATATTTTAAGTCCTAACTATTCTAACAATAATTTTTAAAACATTTTGGATTTCTGGAAACATGAAGTAGGTAGGTACCTACTACCTACCTATAAATTAATTATTCACAGCTCAGTATGGGTTTTTGTCAAAATTGTTACATTTGAAAAAATTAAAATTTAAAATGTTTATTTTATAATTTATATGCACTCTATGATAGATCATCTGATATTACAACAATTATTATGCTTTTAGTTTTTTGAGTTACTTGTATCGAATTATAAAGAATCTATTTACAATTAGAATTGAATAAACTATACAAAAATATTACTATAAATAAATAAGTATTCATAAATTCTAATTTATTATTAAGTATTAAATTATGGAGGTTAAGCATAAAACTATACTTTTTAAGTTTTAAAAAGACTATATTAAGCATAATTGTTATAAAATGTAGGTAGCTAGAAAAGTAAACATTTTAATTGTTTCAAGTGTTACCTACTATTTAGTATTTACTACAATAATAATACAAAATCATCTATAGAAAATTTTTAAATTTAAAATGTTAAGAAAATAATTTGAAAATTTCTGATGATTCCTAAGAATTAAGATAAATATTGCTTTGTTCACAATAGAATAATTACTCCTTGCATATTTTTATTTAAAAATAATTAAATTAATAAATCTCATATACATTAAGTATGACTGTTTTTATCTTTTATTTACAATTAAAAGAATGTCATAGCATCTGTGATTTTAAGACTTAGGTATTGTAAAATATTGTTATGTACCTATTTATACTTGTATTTTGTGCTGTTTTAATTTATAAGATAATTATGATTAGTCACTTAGGAAAATCAGTTCTTCCATGTCTCGTAGCTTACCCCAAAAGCATACATAATCAAATTTATTTTTGAATAACGATCATCAATGATATTTTACAATGGTTTTTGTTCAAAAATGAAAAAATAATATATCAAATATTGTTAGATAAATGGTGACAGTTTGCAAATTTTATACAATTTTGTTACGATTATGTAAAACAGGAAATTACATGTATAGTTATATTATATTCGAATAGTCTTATTCGTTTAATTTATACAATGATTGAAAATTAAATACTTGATATAAATTATCAAATTAGATTTTAAATTATATATTAGTTAGGTACATTATCAAGACTAATTTATAAAAAAAAACTTGTAATACTTATCTTTAGTGTACCCACGTAATAGGACTCATTTAGTTTTAACCATTAATTTATTAACTAATAGTTATATAATTTTTATATAGTATGAATGATTAATATGTATGTACAAGTTACAGCTGAGAGATTTTTCTTGTTTAAATATTGCCTATACAAGAATTAGATACATGTGATTTTCAGGATAGGTCAATTTTATTTGACAAGATAATTTTTGTTTGTAATCAAAATCATACTCACATTTCAAAATGTTTTATTAGAAATACATACATTTAATAATAATAAAAATATATAGGAATCAAAAATTATGTATATAAATTGTCTTTTAGTTTACATAGTATTGTAAACAAAACGTATTGGCTGTATACAAATGTCTAAAATATTATATATATAACTTTAGGCTTAACATGAGCATTAATAGTTCCCCAGTAGCATTATTCAATATTAATATTATTTTAAACAATGTACAGAAATGGATGCTGGTCCTGAACGACTAGTTATTATCACCTAATAAACATTGTCACGGATAACACTATAACGCAAAATATTTGGTCTACTGTTGTTCCAGGTCGCTGATGGGTGATGGTGAAATAGACTTTGACGTGGTTGCCGCCTCAGTGTCAGGTTGTTGGTGCTGTTGTGAGTCTCTCTTCTGCTCCAACAACTTCATTTCATACTTGAACAACACTTGTTCAATGTCTCGTCGAGCCATTAGCTGTAGAGCTTTGTCGGCTTTAAGGTTACGCATCCGTTCAGCCACATAATCTGAGAATGTATTGAATTCATCAGATGGTGCATCCAGTCTAGACATTCGCATAATCTTTCTGCTACTATAGCCTCCACCATCATCTTCTGAATAATCTCCACCTGTTACTGGTTGCATACCACGATATTTTCTACACGATGACCATGTTTGTGGCTCCTGTACATCCACTATTGGTTCTTGGTTGTGGTAGTCGTCCATGGACTCGTGCATCATTGAAGCAAGCACACTGTCTGCCTCATAGCCACTTGCATTTGTGTCATTTGCTTCTGCATAACTGTCCTCAGATGTTTGACTCCAATTATAATGCTGATTTTCTACGTCTGCTTGCTAAAACATAACATAATAATATGTTAATATGACTTTAAGATATGTACAATAATTTGATTTATTGTGTATTAGTTTTGTAGGGTGAATTTATTTAAAAATGTACTATTTTATTTTTATCACATAAAATTATTATTAACGTAATGAATAGTTAAAAACAAAATATCTTGAAAATAATAACACTTTTTTAACATAATATATAATAACTACCAATATTAAACTAAAATACTTCTGACAAGTAAATAAACAAGTTTTTTTATACATTGTATATTAATAAATAATAATTATTACCTAATTTTTCTATTTAAAATTAACTTTAGTTTCAACATGTTGATAATTATATTATACATTTGAGTTTAAATTATTTTCAGTTTCTAAAAAATTTATTTCTTACTTAACTGTATAATACTAAAACTAGAAAATTGAATCATGTACATTCCTTAAACAACTAGCTATAGCCAAGTATAGCTGTTTGTTTAACTAGAACATCTGCTCACTTAATTGGTCTGTTTAATTTTTCCCAATACTTCACGCCTATACACTATACAAACATTTTTGCAAATTTTTGCATCACAATACTAAATTTAATAATATTAAGTATTATTTTAGGATATGGTATTCTTACATATTCTAAAGCTTTGTCTTTATCAAATTTACAACTTCCTAGTCTTTTTCCTTCAAATTATAATCTAATTAAATAGTATTTAGGTGTGATAATCATTTAAAATATGATCTTTCTAATACTACATTGTCTTGGTTTATAATTTATTTATTAGAGAGTGCTATATTTAAATTATTTCTCCAACATAGTATAACAGTACAATAAACTGGACTTGACAAAAGTAAAGATTTTTTTTTATGACATACTTTTGTTAGTATTTGCTAGTTTTTGATGAAGATTCAAACAAATCTACTGAATTTCATTTTTTAAAATATATTTAGAGTTTTTTTATTACATCTTATTAAAACATTCAAATACTGAAAGCAGGTGGGCTATTTTGTATTTATTAATTATTTTTGAGAGAAGGAAAGTTATGCTGTATTTGTACTCATTTTTTTTTTTTATTGGAAATGCTTTTATTGGCTTAACTAAAATAAAACAAATATGCTGATAGGTATGTGTTTTAGATCAGATAGGTATTGAGTTAGTATTTGATTTTTAATTTTTTTACTAGAGTTTTACTGTGATTTAAAATTAACAAATGACTAAGAAATAATTAACAACAGTAATATATTATATTACAAAAAGTAAACAATAATAAAAGATAATTTTTACATGATACAATATTAATGAGAAAATGTAAAAATTAATAATTTCACATTAAAAAAATTGCATTTTTTAGTTACTTGTTGTTTAAATTTTATAACCTGTTTACTACACATTGTGTAACATACTAATATAATAATATACTGATATTACTTATAAATTATAATTAAAGGCCTAGTAATGGGTATTGATTTAAAAATGGCTTGCAAATATTTTAACACTAAAAATTGAAATGATACATTTGATTTATTGGATGAAACAAGTTGACTATATAGAGTATGAAACAAAATAAATACATTTATTATTCTTACATTATTTATTGTTAGGTCAATATAAAGTAAAATTGAAATTTAATGTCTATAAATCACAACTGTAGACAATAGTTTCCAAATTAACATGTTACCTAAATTTTATTAATATTATGCATAATATAATAGACAATAGTCTGAACTGGTCACTAAAGTAGTATCTTTGCAATTTATTATAATTGTTTGCCATGTAGATTTTACAATTAAATCACATGATTGGTCTTTGTGTCAAAACAATCAATTGGGTTTGTTTCTCAATAAAAAAATTGTCAATTTTACACACAAAACTTGACCATCCTCCAATGAGCATACATACAGATTTACAAAAATAGCATGCATTACACAAATGTTTGTTATGAATTTTACTTGCTAATTGATTGGTTCTATTGAAACCATTTGGCATTTTGTATCCAGGCTATAAAAGTTGAATCATTGCTTTGAACTTTGGATGTTTGATTATTTTAAGAGTATCAGTTACATAAATCATCCTTGCTATCTGATCGCATCAAGTTTATTTTTTCTAAACTTATAATTCTATAAGGTATGTGTTTTAAATTTCTGTTTATCAGAGTAATTTATCAACAATGACAAAAATACATCATTTTGTACTTTTGGACACTGTAAATAAAATAATTAAACATAAAGTTTTATATTAAATGAAATGACCTTTGGTTTTATAATGTTTTATTATAAATTATAATACCTATTATAAAAGTAATGATTGAATGATACTGGTCAGTGGTCATATGGGTACTCCATATTTGAATTTTCCTTAATTAGATACGTATATAATCGTAAATTATAAACAGATATAGTTTTCAGATCCTATATTATATTACTAACTGATGGTAAGTTCTAATATTTTCATTTTTATTATTCAAGTTACCGTGTTCAAAATTGAAACCTAATGATGAATCTTTTCGAAAATTTGTATCTAGGTACTTGCTATGCAATTATCTTTTTAATCAATGCTAAACTTTTCTTTAAATATTTTGTTTTCATTAATGGACAGTGTACAAACAATGTGTTTTATCATCCTTTCAATTAATGTGACTGTTGACAATTTACAGTCCTTACTCTTTATACACGGCCCGTTTGGATTTTCCTATACCTGTAGTAGTTTCATTGAAATTAATCCACACGGGGTATTATCTTCTATCGGTCATTGTCGTGATCATTCGTCATTGTTGATTCGTTTGCGGCTCGTTTGAAATCCGTTCAGCTGACGACCAAAATAAAAAAAAACTGAAATTTATGAGCCGAAGTTGCTTTGAAATAATGGTTCAATAGCGACAAATTTGCGGCACCATTCATATTTATAGTGAATGTCATAGTGATATAAAAAAATAATCCAGTATCTTCCCGATTCCAGAATAGTCAGAAAATTGTTTTATGTTTTTTTTTGGATTTTAAAGAAACGTTTTCAGTCGAATGCACATAATTTATCAGCCGCGTTTAGAGGTGATATCGATCATCATGCAGTATTTAGTGCATAAGTATTTAAGTATTTTACTTGGGGACTGAGAGATTGTTCACTTTATTTTCGTTTTCAACATTTTCTAAAACCTACCCCGTAGATTAGGTCAAAGCATTTAGGAATAACTATAAATATTAAATATTTATTCATATGCATAAGTAAATACTGTATGTTTGTATAGTATTTAGGTACTTAATATGCATACATAATATTATGCTCGTATAATCGTATAAGATACTTAGATATTTTAGCATAAGAAATCGTAAGTGTGTAACAATCACGATGACTATCGAAATTTACAATAAATTAGGCAAAATAAAAAAAGACATTTTAATGAGTTTTATATCATGATTATTACGGTTTGTAACATCTTTTATGACCAAAGAAACAAATGAACAAGGTTAAAAAAAAATGTATCATATCATTATTAATTAATAATAAATAGCATTAATTTAATTTAAATTAACGCATTTTGAAAAATGTCAATATTTCGTTCATTTGAATTGTACAGTGTACATATTATGTAATTTCTTATAAAACGATTCGCATTAGTCATAGTTAGAGGTCGAATTATAATTTTACATATTATTGTATGTACTTAAATGGGAGTAAGATATATTTACAATCCATAAAAAAGTACATTTTTATTTTTGTAAGTATTTTTTAAAAGAAAATAATAAATAGTTAATATTTAATAGTATTACATAATAGTATTATTTTTATTTGCCAAATTAATTGTTATTGTAAACAAAACAAAATAAAATAAATTTAATCTGTTATTGTAAACCAAATTAATTAAGTAAATTTAAACTGAATAATTTTAATAAATATATTTTTTGTTTTTACAGAATATTAAAAGAATATTTTGTATTTTTAAGGACATAAAAACATAAAATTTAAAGGATTTTAAGAGAATTAAAATCCTATCTCTAATTATAGTAAATGTGTCAAATGGCTAGTCAAAGATTTAAATTCGTTCATGTTCATCACTAATAAAAAACAAATCTAATCGATTATATTTTTAATTACATTTAGTTTAATAGTGTTTTTCGTTTAATTCTTAGTCTACGTATAATGCATTATAATATGGTAATAGATTGATAAGGTTTTTAGGGGAACTTGTGTGACGACACAATGGGAGAGACGCTACGAAAATTGCGCATTGATTTTTCCTACAATTGCCTTTGCGGTACTAGTAATTTTTTTAATTATATTTTTTAGTGTTATGCCTATCGTAATTTTTTTGTTTGTTAATTACGATCGTTACATTAGTTGTTATACGATTGATATAGAAAAAGAAGCTATAAAGGTCACGTAATATTGTGAAATAAATTTTAAACTAGCATTAATATTATACATTATTTATACATAAAATATAATTAATATAATATTATATTTAATGAAATTAATTATTATTTTCTTAAAATCTTAATAATTACTATATATTTTTAGAACAATAGTTAAATTAAATAAAAATAATGTGCTTATAAGGTTTTTTTGAGTGGGTCAATGTTATAAAAACATTTATTTTATCTACATTCCTCGATCCTATTTATACTTGTAATTTATGTATTTTATGATGATTTTAAAAGTTGAAAGTCATGGCATTAATATATTATATAACTTATTAACAATGTTACAAAAATGATTAATTTTAAATTTAAACTATAGGTCTATAACATCAATTAATTATAAAAAGTTACAGAAACAAAATTATTTCAAACTCGATCATCAAATATATTTCTCTCACTTATAACTTTACATGTACCTGCTTAAATTCATTATTTCTATTATAACAAATTTATTACTCATCAAGTCATCAAAATATTTCGATGACTGCAATCATAAACGCATATGTACTTAACATATTTATTGTTTTTATCAGAATTTAATATTATACTTGTAATTACCGTATTTACGGCAATTATCGTAAATAGCGAATATTGTTTAT